ATCTAGATTTTCATCTATAAATTTTCACGTGAAAAGGAGTAACCATAAAGGAGAATAAAGGAATAAACCCTTATTTGTTGACGTTATTCCTTTTTCAGAAGGCACGGGACTTTATATTGTTGGCAAACGCGATCCGTCTGTCGACAGTTTATGGCCAGCCGATGACAGCCACGCGAACGTAGACAATGCTGAAGGGTTCAATGCGGTCTCGTAAAATGAATTCGCTTTCAAAAGGTCAAGGTCCTGTGGCAAAGATTGAAAATTGTAATACCAATAGCTATCGAGATAGACGTTACGACAAAACAAATTATCGAAATCTTAATTTATTTTATTGTGATCAATCATTTTAGATTTATTTAAATTATTTTATAATAGATTCAAAAAAACTAAAGTATGGGTATATTTTCGTAATTTCATACATATTTTAACATTTTTTTTGATGACGATACGAAGACGCTTTCTCAATACTTGTGCTATGTCCTCTGAAATAGTTAAGGTTGTATTAATTTTACAGTTTACAGTCTATATATAAAGAAATCTATGTAACATTTGAGATGATGTCCACATTGACGTAATCCGTCAATTGCGAACATTGTTATCTCCGAGAGTACGATTGGAGGTAACTAGCGAATCTTTGAAGTTGAGAAGGACCGGTCTCACAGCTCTTTCTAAAATCGGCCTGAGGAATCGTAACAAGTAATAAGAAAAAAATAAAAATTGTGAATCGAGCGACAATAAAGTATCAATAGAACATACTAGCTGTCGCACGCGACTCCGTCCGCGCGGATTAAAAAAATCATAATAAATAGCCTATGTGTTCTTCCAGTTATGTTCTACATTTGTGCAAAATTTATCAAAATTCGTTCAGCCATTCCGGAGATGTCTTCAAACATCCATCCATCCAAATCATTTGCATTTATAATATTAGTGAGATTGAATTTCAATAAAATGTGTATACATATTATTTGATTTTAAATAAAATCATGCAAGTTAAAATTATTACTAAAAGCCATTATATGATATAGCAATATAACATTATTTATAGTTTTGAACTTTTCAATAGTTATTGACATCTAACGCTTAATTTGTTGTAAAGTTGTCAATAAATTTAAATTTACGGTGATTGTTTTTCGCAACGAGCGTTTTTTATATATTTATTATACTTTAAAATGTTAGTTTTATATAAATTGAGAATCATATAATGTAATTTAATACAATTTAATTTAATAATATTTTTAAAATGATTGACATTGTTCGCTTTAGTCAGAAGATTAAATTAAAGTTGATATTTAATACGTTATTTTAATTCATAGCCAAAGCTCAGAAATACAAATTTTCATATAATTATTCAAAATCTTTTACGAAATTATACATCACGGTCACTGATTTATTTGATAAATATTTATAAAATGTGTTTAACACTACAACGCAAAATAAAAAAATTAAATAGTGTTTAATTCTTCATAATTATTCCCTTCGGGTTATACAAAGTTGATGTTATTATTACTTTTGAATGCTTTTTTTGACACATAATAAATCATTTCAGGTGTTATATACCAAGGTAAAGCTATATACGACTATGATGGTATTACTCCAAAAATGCTGTTGGACACTATTTGTTTGAACACCTTTGTTAACCTTTTGAAAGCCGGTGATTGATATTATGGAAGTCAAAGTAGTTATAAAAGTGGATGTTTTAACCTTAAATATGTATGAACAAAACTGTTTTTGATATGAGTGTTTTATTATTTGTCAAGATTGCATTTACAAGGCCAACGCATAATCATATCTTAGTAAAAATGATATGTTAAAAATCCGCGCCCGGTGTGCGATTTTTAAGCTAAAACGTACTTGCTACACTCAGTTAGACACGAAGCCTAACTTATTTCTTTATCTAGTTTAGTTGTGCAAGTTTACGCTATATACATTCCGTACAAACAGTACATAACTCGGAAGTGTGTTAGTTACTTCGGACATCTCGCTACTTCTAATTAGGTCTCTTGTTGTTCAAACAAAAAGCTCTTGTCGACAGCAAATGCAACTCTGTACGATGCTCTTTTGTTTTGTATTTTTCTTTTTTATGATAAAATTATTATTAACTAGCTGTCGCCCGCTACTCCGTTTGCGCGGAATAAAAAAAAACATAATTAGTAGCCAATGTGTTCCTCCAGAGTATGTTCTTTATGTATGCCAAATTTAATCGAAATCTGTTCAGCCGTTCTGGAGATACCTACAAACAAACATCCATCTATCCATCTATCCATCTATCCATTCATCCCTCTAAAGACTCGCATTTATAATATTAGTATGAAGTAAGATTAATACTCCTTGTCTTCATTTCTATATTAAATTAATAGTGGTTAAATTATACAGTGAATATAAAATAAACCTGCAAGTGAAATAAAAGTAATACGTAATTTTATATCACAAACAGAATGTTTAAAACAAAATGCGTATGTTTTTTTTTAAATATAAAAAATGTTGTTTAAAAATATACTCTTGTACTACTCGAGTTGAGATATCCTTTGATACAAAAACCGATGTAAAATAAGCCGTTTACACATGGATTATGCTTATCTTCTCGTTCGAGGAAAAGCTTGGTTTAAAATTCCATTATTGAAGCGGAATTTTCAAAAACAGTTTATTCCCGTTCACTGATTTTTTTAAATTGTCCACTATAAGTTTTACGATCATGCAAAAGATAGTCCTAATAAGCGTACGTATATAATTTCTTAGTTTCAAATGTGTAAGTAGGTATATTTTATTCAAAATTTTAATTAATTTAAATATTTAATATAATTATTAATTGAATAAAATTTTTAGCTTACCATCGAGCCGAGAATCGAATTTTGACCGTCGCATTCTAAGTATGAATACACTAACCAAATTTAATTTAACATCGACAATTTACTAAAATTAAAACCCAAGAGAAATCTCCTGAACAGTCCTATTTAAAACTATAATAATGCATACTTTCCTTTATTTCCTTTCGACTCAGCATTTTTATTTCGCTCATTTTGTTCCTCATACTATTGCACAGAGT